TTCGTTAACTTCTTCCAGTAAAACAGTTGAGCAATTCTCTTTAGAGCTGGATGGATTGTCATCTTCCCAGTCAACTTTCCCTGCTACATATTCATACCTTTTTTCTCCAATAAAAAAGAATTGGGATTCACTTTGCTTACAACCTATCCTGGGTTCAAGATCTTTGAGGATACTGGAACTTCTATGTTTGAAGAGGCGACCCTTTAGCTCAGGAGAGTCTGAATCAATGAAAATCACAACCAATCCAGAAGAAACATGATGGATATTGTTCTTCGCAATACTTGATAGTGCAAGCGTTTTTGATTTTGATTTTGCTTTTGGTTTTATGAACTCCACATGATATTTTTTAATATCACATTTCTCCTTTGGAATAAGTTTGCTGCTTGTTAAGATAAAGTACTTGCTCCAACCATCGGTTCTGACCTCAGGATCATAACACAAACATGCCCCGCCTACAACTGAGATACCATCAGCTTCATCCTCTCGCGTTATCTTGCAAAGGGCTTTCCGTCTCTCTCTTTCTCTTCTGGCCAGAGAGTCCGATGTTGATGCAGCAAGCTTATTGCGAACGTCTTCTGAAATATAGTACACATTAACATACATGTACCATGACCAAATACACAATTAAAATGCACCATGGAAATAAGTTGCATCCACATACCAAACAGGTATGACAAGAGACATTCAATTTAACGTTACAGATGTCAGACTCCTGTAGCCTTAAAAGTCAATGCTATTTATATAATACTGAGGATAACAATATGCAACAATGATAATAATGATGTTGATAAAGAGTAATTTAAAATACAGCACAATAGATATTATTTTACTATAAATTGTTACGAGTATTGTAATTAAAGTAAAGTATAGCAGTCAGATTGTTTTGAAGAAGCTCCGAGGAATTGCTACTAACACGGACCTAGAAAACTACCCAGTGAGTTCATTTGTTAATTATTTCATCACTTTGTTTGATTTGTCTTAATTTGTTTTTTTTTCTAATACAGCTAATTTATTCAGTTCTACATTATAAATCATGCTCATAATTTAGAAAGGCTGAAAGTTTCTAAAGAAACTGTGGTCTTGCATCGGTGGGGATAACAGGGTAATTGGTTATATCAACTAAGTTGAAATTAAGGGCTAACGCTCGCAACGTCAGCTTTTTATTCGTTACGGTGGCCAATTTACTATTTAAACTTAGTTCATAATTTAGAAACTTACTCAACATTCAACTAGCAGTTGTCATTCTTCAATCCTGTCTTGGACTGCACATCATTCACACTAATATCACATGTAATTCAGGCTATGGCGGATGGTTACATGATAGAGTGAAGAGTTTGTTCTTTTCTTAATAAGATGATGGATGTCTGTCAACTCTACACTGTAAACACAAAATCTGAGTAAAAAAGGAATAACATTGTTAGAAAATGTTTGTAATGAAACCCAAAGTTACAAAAACCAGTAAAAGAACTATGAGGGAGAACTAAGGGTTTGTATATTAAAATCCTAAGTGATTATAATAATAATAATTTATCATTACATTTGATATAGCGCTTTAACTATTAAAATATTCTAAAGCGCTGTACAATATTAAAAGCGTTCTTAAGAAGAAANAAAAGAGTCAATGTTCCTACAGTTTCTAAGACTAGATGGCAAGGCATTCCATACTGTTGGTCCAGCATGGAAAAAGGCTCGATCGCCAAGAGTCTTCCGTGTCACCCTAGGGATTAGCGGCAATGTTTCAGAATCAGACCGCAGGCTGTATCTAGTTCTAGGCTTTACAACAGGTAGTTCAGATAAATATTGTGTGGCCAGGCCATTCAATGTTTTAAAACTAAAAGCGCAATCTTAAATTCTACTCTAAATTACACCGGCAACCAGTGAAGTTCCCTAAGTACCGGAGTAATATGAGCAGACTTAAGAATTAAGCATTTAACCCGAGCCGCCGCATTAAGAACTTTTTGAAGTCGATTATATTGATATTGCGGAAGCTTATACAAACGAGCATCGCAATAATCTAAATGTGATGTAACAAACGCATGAATTAAACACTTTGTTGATTCTGCAGACAAATATTTCCTAATTTGCCTAATATTATAAAGTCTCCAAAATGCCTTACTACACACCTTTCCTATATGAGTATTCATTGACATATGGTTATCAAACCATGCGCCAAGGTTTCTAACAAGCTTAAGGGGTTGAATGTCACAGTCACCAACTTAAATTGAAGGAATGGTAACCTTAGATAACCGCTGCGACGAAACAATGACTAGAAATTCTGTCTTTGAGTCATTAAACATCAACCTGTGTGAGACTAACCAAGCCCTAACATCAGCTATGTAGTTCTCAATAGCCTTAGTCGCTTGATCTTGAGCAGCAGACGAATCTGGACGAAACGACACGTGCAACTGAGTATCATCAGCATACCCATGAACTGATGATTACCTCGAGTTTCTTTTAAAAACAGACACAACTTATATAAGTTTACTGGCACTTATGTTGTAACTGGTACCTATAGGATGCTTGTTTCAATCATCTACATGATCAGTCTTCAAGCTAGTTGTAATCCATAGTTCTTGACAGCTTGTGTGACTAAGGGAGGTTGTTCTATAGTAACCACAATAAAGGAAATTGGAAACACACATTATCAAGGTAGATGCTTTGATTTCCTTCTTTAAATACTATCAAAGTTATCATCAGAGCTTAAAAATTAAGATAGAGGAACAGATCACCTATCAAAAAGATACACACCTAAAATGTAAAACATTCTTCCAAGTGCGATGACATCATTCTCGAAAAAGGAAAGTTAAATATTCCAATTACAAAAGTACGGTAATCATAATTCTTTGGGTGTTAGGCGCATTATTTTCTATGAGAAAATCTGTTCTCTCATGGAAAATTATTGCCTAACGTGAGGTGTTTCATAGCTGAGTGTTTTATAAGAAGTCAAGACGATGACTGCTGTTTATTGACTTTAGTAAGATGTGGTGCTCCCGAAAAGAGCCGTATTAGAGTGTGTCATATAACTGAGTGCATTTTTACTGATCTTGTTTTCCAACATGCGTTTTACTGTCATGTTTGTAACTTCAGTTTGTGTGCTATTTCTTTTCAAGCTACCATGGCCAAAGAGAAAGAATTTTTATGAGTGCATTTTACAGTTGAATAAGAACAGTTCTTTCTAGTAAGCACTAGAATCTCCTTTCAACCACAAATGTCTGAAAATCAGGACACCACTTTTTGGTAACAGAGCAGAGTATTTATTTTGGTCTGGGGTAACACCAGGTGGTGTCCGCACTCTGATTGCGTTGCATCATGGTCGTAAAACAAAAATTGAGTCATTTGCATCTTGACGCGTTGGAGTGAACATCTTTGATGGCAGCGAGATACGGCGCAAATATATGTGGATTGTAATTGGGATTCATTTTCTGTTGCAATGCCTTCGAAAGTTAAACGTCTGACAGGCCAGCTTGACTCCTGTCCTTCCACCATGACGAATTCGTTCTTTGGAGGCAAGTGACGGTTTAGAAAGATTCAAAACTGCAATCTGCCTAAGAATCTCGACACAAATGGCAACAGTTACACTCACAACCAATGGCGGGATGAATAATTTCAAAGTCAGTAATTATATGCTTAGACGCGAGTTATTCAACTGTGAACTGACCATTGACATACAAACTCATATTAGAGAGACAGAGACCTTGTAATAGAAGACCTTTTTCCACCGAGCGTAAATACGGGATTTGTAAAAGGAGAAGCTCCATGCCTCCTAAGAACGAATTTGTCGCGCTCCACGTTTAGTAAAAACGTACAGAGTTTCAAAATACCCTTCGAGAATAGAGGAAACCTTAA